CCCCTCTCACCCACCACCACATGCACACACTTGCCCAAAAGCGCGCGCGCTGCGCACGGCAAGGAAAAAAAGGGGGTGGGGGGGTTGTCGAGGAGGGGTAGAGACGGTGCGGGGACAGGACAGTAGGTTGGTGCCACGAGGCGAAACCTTACAGCTGCCACGTTCATTGCCCTGCCCTCCCCCTCTTTTCTTTTACCCTCTATTTTTCGTCACATGTGGAGATTTCTGCCAATAAGCAATCTCGATCTCCAGTCTCTCTTATTTCCCAGGTACATTATCTCGGTGATAATGACAACCACGCCTGTTGGAGGTGCAGGAGGCACATGCCGCGCGATGGCACCCGGGTTGCCCAGGGGTTGACTCCACCCCCACCGCCCTGCTCGCCGACCCCCGGCCCCAGCCCGGGGGTGCCCTTGCCTCTCCCGCCCCACATCGCCTCCTCGTCCCGCCCCTGCCTGCCACACAGATTCGAGTCCCCCAGTTGCCGCCCCGCCTCGCCGCCGAGCACTCGACTGCGCCTACCCTCCGCGCCTATCTTGTCCCTCCCTGTCCTGCTGACTAATGGGATCAGCTTATTTAATTTCTTGATTGAATAATGTCCGGGCGATAACGACCTTTCGTTTCCGCGCTTTCCTTCGTTCTCCCCGCAGCCGCCGCAGCGCCGGTGCACCAGCGGCGTAGCCGCACGACGCGGAGGGTGTCCATGGGGAAGTCCCAGAAGGAGGACAAGAGCGCCGTCGGCCTGGGCCGCCATGTGGTGGGGGCGCGGGCCGAGGCCAGTTGGGCTGGTCTAGGATGCTCTAGGGGCTGACAGCGAGTCTTCTAGAGGACAAGCCGCACGAGCCGCACGGTCGAGCGACGGGCAGCAATGGAGGGTAAGGAGTGACCGACACGCACAGGGACTGAACCCCGCCCCAGTCTCTCACCGAAGGCACATTTCCCGCAGGCAAGCTTGCTCACCTCACGGCTCTTCTGTGTCCAGGAGCCTAGTCGTCATGCGATGTCCGTGACAGCCGTGGCCGGGGGTTCCGGGGGCCACGTGGGCAGTGGCGACCTGGGTGGCGGGGCAGGTGACCTGGAGTCGGATCTGTCCGGCGGGGAGTACCGGATCCGCTTCGCCGGCAACCTGGGGCCGCTGGACGCCCTGGAGCCGGCGCTGCCCCCAGCCCCCGCGCCCTCGCCGGCCCCGCTGCACGCCGTCCCGCACGCCGCTGTCCACGCCGCGGGGTCACAGTACTCCATCACTGGACTGCTCCAGTCCCTCGGCGACTGCGGCCTGGGCGGACTAGGCGGCACCCTCAGCGCCACCCTCGGCTCGCTGGGCGGTCTGGGCGCACTGGTGCAGCCCGAGCAGGTCATCGGCCAGCAGAGCGTCGCCTTCAGCAAGCTAGGTGAGCTTGTCAGCGGCCTCTCGTTGAGCCTGGTCCTGGTCCAGGGAGACTAGCTCCCGCCGTGCGACCACCGCGCGCTCGACCCGACAACTCCAGAGTGGTCCCCGGCAGACATTCGCCCACCTGCTACCCCCACCTCGCCAGGTTCGCGCATTATAGCTTTTTATCAAATTATTTCTAAATGCATTACACTTGGCTCCGCCCGAGGCTCCGCCCTCTCGATACTCTATTTGGTTAGGACAAACCTGTTGTGACGTAAGCTAATTAAGGCCGGGCGAATGGGGCGCTTCGTCGCAAGGCGAGAGCAGATGGGGTTGGGGATGGAGGGGGA